TTTTATCTTTTATTTCTTTTGTATTTTTTAATTAGATAAATTTTTTAGAGAATGATGCCTATAATAATGTATAGGTCTATAAACCTATCATTAGATATATAACTTAGGAGTTGCCATTAATCTTTTTTATTTATAAGTACAATTGGTCACTTAATGAATCTATCATTTTAAGAATGTTCTAAGCTTGGCTAAAAATCTTTAAAAAAATAAGTTCTGGTCTATATTTCAAAACTAGATTCAAGAATATAATTACGAGTGAAAAATGTTATAGCACCCTCACAACGACTATTCTAAGATGGTACCAATTAATTCTAAATTATCCTAAAGTCTTAGCTACATTGTCTTTTATTTTTGGCTTAATTTAAACATTTACATATTAGAAAGAATTTTAGGCTTCCCCCACCATTATGTGGAATTTCTAAAAATTTTTCATTTCCAAGAGTATTCAAAGAACTTATTTGTTCACTTGAAAAAGCTTTATCCTCATATTGATTAATTTATTGTTAATCATCATTTTTTTAATTCATTTTTATTGAAAAATATCTAAAGTTTCCACCATATTGGAAATATTTAAAACATTTTCTCATCTAAAAACTTCTAAAAAAATCAAAACCATTCTTGATTTTTTTTTTTAATTTTATCATTAGATCTATCTTTATTTTTGTTTACGTGATTTATCTTGATTATTTCTAAAATTTTTTAAATTTTTATTGAAAATTTTATCTAAATTCTATACCATTATGGAAAATTTAAATAAAAACTTCACATTTAAAAATTTCTAGAAATACAACCATTCTTGATTTCTAGAATTTCATCATTTGGCACATTCTTGTTATTTTTATTCTTGATCTTTGTAAATTATTTTTATATTTGAAAATTTCATCTAAAATTTTCACCTTTTTGGAAATATTTAAGGCAAAACTTTTCAACTAAAAATTTCCAAAAAAATTATACCCATTTGGATTTCTAGAATTTCATCCTTGAATTTATGAAGGGTTTTAATTCCAAAACTTATTCTATTATTTCTAAAACAATTTCTCAATTTGGTTGTTTGAAAATAAATATCAATATTGTCATCGAAATTCTTACTAAAAATTCCACCATTCTAAAGAATTTAAGAAAAAGCTTCTTACTTAAGAAATTTTTTTAGAAATTTAACCATTATTGATTTTCTAAAATTTCATCATTAGATAAAATTCTAGAGTTGTTCATTTTTATTATTAATTGAAAACAAGTGACAATTATTATTATTATTATTATTATTGAATTTTTATCCAAATTAATTTTTACCATTATGAAAATATTTAAGAAGGAACCTTTTACTTAAAAATTTCTAAAAATCAATCTTCATGTTCTTCTTTTAACTCCACCATAGGAAGTTTTTTCACTTATAATTAAAGTTGGAATTAAATTACATGATTCTAAAGAGCATTTTATTTACTTTCAAGATTTATATAAAATACATGATTCTAATATTGTTTTAATTAAAGAAAACTACAATTATAAATATATTTTATTGAACCATATTTTAGTTTTTAAGTGTCAAGCAACTAAACATTTTTTTATTTAAAAATAAATACATAATAAAATGCATCACTAAGTACATAAATGATAAAAGGTGAACCAAAAAACTAAATAAGGAAATGAGGAAGTAAATAAAAACCTTAAATTTGAGTTACAACTTAAACCCAACACAAGTTTAAGCGAAGAAGTGGGCTTGAAATTCTTAGCTTCAAGTTGGTGGGGTCTTGAATACTCCGAAGGCTATACCAAAAACTTGAGTTTTTTGGACTTGGACCAAGACTTCAAGTCTAACCTTTTTCACAAAACCCTCTTCCTTTCTTTATCCTTTATTTCCAAAGAAAACCAGCTTTTCTTTTTCGGAGAACCAACAACCCCGCTCCCAATTTTTTTATCGTTGTCTCCTTTCTTGCTGGCAAGTTGTCACCTTTAGCCTCTTCTCCTTCCTTTTCCATTATTCTAGCCTTTATTCTCCCTTTCCTTGCTAACCAAGATCCTTACAAGGAAAGGAAGTCTGTGCTCTCCTCATAAATACAAAGCTTCAAGGCTATTACCTCCATCGTTGCTATCGACCACTGTTGACTCAGCCATCTCACTTAACCCAAAAGGCACCAAAATCCTCTTATCCTCTAATCGATCGACCGCAAACACCAAAAGAGTCCCAAAATAGAATCCAACCCAAATCTTCATGACCTTTTTGTCACAACTTCAAAATAACCACTAAGAGCTTGTTTTCCCTCCCCTCTTTATTTTAGCAAAGTCTAAAGAAAGTCTAGAAATCAACTAAACTTGATACTTCTAAGACCACTATCATTGCCCACTTTCCCTTTTTGTGCTATTCCAATTGTGATTGCTTCCCCTTAATTGTCGATTCTTTGTTGTTTAAATAACCAAGTAGACCTTGTTGCAACGAAACTCTAAACCGAGATAAAGTCTCGATTTTAAAAAATTTCCTTATCACATTATCAATCCAATCTAGTTGTCTCTAAAATACAATATCTTCAAATAACTAAACTCTTATTTTATATTTATTTATTTATTTATTATTATTATTATTATTATTATCAAAACTAAAACTAATAAATTAATAAAATAAAAGCAAAAAAGGCAAAATAGATAAAGTAAAATACAAACATAAAATTTTGATCAAATACAAGCATCGAGATTCAAAAATCAAAAGTTTTTTTTTGAAGGAATTCGGATAAAATTGAACATTTACTGTATCAATTAATAAAAATATTAAAATCATCTGTATCAATAGGTTTCAATCCATTTTAATATGATATGAGGTAAATTTTAAAATTAAAGAGTTCAATAGATCAAGGTTTTTTTTTTTTTTTAAAGATCAAATTGGAAACATGTTTGTGGTGTTTTTTCTTGACCCATTTTAAGGTGTATATAAAAATATATTTTTTATTATTTATTTAATTTTAGACATATATTATTTTAATATAATAAATTTTTTATTTTAATTTAAAAAATTTATATTTTAAACTCAATAGGAGATATCAGCACGATTTATTAGGTTTTTTTTATTCATTTTTAGTTTTTTTTCACTTTTTTTGTATATGTTTTTCCTACTTTTCCTTTTTTTTTTTTTTGTATTTATTTTTTCAGACAAATGTTACGAGAAACAATAGCCAATTAAGACATCTAGGCTTCATTCCTGTTTATTTTTTTTCCTTTCATCATTTTTTTTTAATTTCATAAATTTTGCAAAAAATACGATGAATAGATATGATAAAACAAAAAATTAGACCTATGGTTGACCAAACAATTCAAAACATAACTCAGAAACAAAATAAAAAACATGAAAATAACATAAGATAAAATTTTAACAAAAAAAATAGAATTTAATAGAAACCAAAAAATGAATTTTGTGCTTTTCATGTCAATATGAATTGTAGCACATAATTTTTATATAAAAATTATATAAATACACAAGTTTTCATTGTTTTAAACGACATGAATGCATGAATTATTAGATATACTACCACCAATGAGTGAGCGCATTTTTAGTTATAAAGAAAATCTCATCTCTTAACAATTTTATTTGCCCAAAAAAAAATGTGTCATTATTTATCTCTTAACAAATATAATTTAAAAATAAAAAACAATGGAACTTATCTCTTACAAGTTTTTTTGGCCTGGTCATGCAAAACTAATTCAAAAATTTTTAAAACTAAAATTTAAAAAATCAATCAATTAAAAAAATTCCATTTAAAATATCCAAATCCTGCATATACCTATTTTTCTTGTTGCCTTTTTTTCTTTTCATGTCTTTTTGTCCTATACTTTTATCTAGTGAAAAGAACTATATTTCTTTTTATGTATGTTCTTTTTTCTTCATTTTCTCTCCATCTTTTCCTATTTTGCATCCTTGCTCAATCCTTTTTTTCTCTCATCTCTTTTTTCTGTAAATTTCTCTCAATCCTTTTTTCTGTTCATCCATCCTCACCCTTTTTTTTTTTTTTTTTGCTATCATCTCTCTTTCTTATAAAAGAAAAATTGCTCTCATTTGTCTTTCCTGTAAAATAAAAAAGGAAAGTAAACTAAAATATAACCTAAAAACACACCGTTTAGACATAAAGAAAAAGCCAACATGTTACGGTAAAAAGGGCCTATGGATAAAATTATATATATGTTAAATAATGAAATATGTATTTGAATATAAACGAAATGATAATGATGGATTAAATATAATGAAAAATATAATCACAAAAAAGTTAAATTTAAATTTTAATATTTATAAAATTAATAAATAATTTATCAAAATAAAAGTATAAATTTAATAAATTTTACACTTATTAAAAGTAAATCTCTCGTATAATGATTAATAAATTGATAATAAAATTTAAAACTTGAAGCAGATAACTTTTAATATTTTAAATAAATTATTATAATTAAATTTATTTATGGATATTAAAAGGTTTATTTACTAACATAAAATTTTATCGTATTTATTTTATATAAATAACTCTAAAGTTTTAAGATTATTTGTTTATTTTATTAAACAAACATAAATGAATATTATGCTAAGCTTATTTAGAAATTAATTAGGTTATAAACGATTATCATTCGAATTGGATCAAATTTGGTATGATTTTTTAAAATAATATATTGTATTATATATTTTTAAAATTTAATTTGATTTTCTCTTAAAATTGATCTGAATTAAAATAAATTTTATTGGTTCAATTTAATTTATTTCGATTCATCAATTTTGAGTTTTAATTTTTTAATTTTTATATTATTTTAAAATAATTTTTAATATATTTAAATATAAAATAATTCTTTTTATTTTATAGAAATTTTAAAAATATATAATCCCATTGGAATATATATTTTTCAATCCAAATTTAATAAAAATATTTAATATTTAAATTATATCGAAAGAAATAATAAAAATTTTTACTCGATCCCGAATCGGTTTCTCGGTTATGTTGGGCGGGGGGGGTGGGGGGTGCCTGTCTCACGGTTTGGTCCGTCTTCAGCAATGTGAAATTGGCCAGCCACTAGGTATAACGACATCCAATGGCATCGTCCGCCGCCGCCGCCAGATCAGTTATCCGATCAAGCTCTGCTCGCAACGCTGTGTCTCAGCTCTACTCACAAGCCAAAGCAGCTCCTTCGCCGTTTCATGTGTCCTCCAAGTTTCGTCTCTCCGGCCGCATTTTCAGGTTTCACATTCATCTCGCTCAATAAAAACATCTTTTCTTCATTTAAAATAGTGAAAATTTTTCATTTTTCCATATATATATATATATAAATAGTTTTTCTCTCTTTTTTTTTTTTTTTTGGGTTTTTGAAGGTGCCCAGTTAAAGCGAGTGTCTGCGTGGAATCTGTGCTGCCATATCACACGGCGACTGCTTCGGCTTTGATGAAATCGATGCTCTCCATTTCTCGACGCAGCTATGTTTGGCTCCCGGAAGGTATTACGATTTCAATTTTTTGGGTTACTTGCTTTCTGGTTTGATGATTACTGAGCTTGGATAAGAATCGGTTCTATTTTGATGGGTTTTTTTCCTCCTTTTGACTCCTTTATTTGCTTCTTTGATCTTGTTTCCAATGAATTCTTGAATGCTTCTTATATTATGGTTCCATAATGTGTAGTTCAAGAAACCAATATGTAGAATTTGGGTGTATTTTGAGTTTGAAATAATAGGAAGGATATGCTTTGCTGTCGTGGTCTTAGGGAATGCTCATTTTAGTTTTCATGTGGTTCAGTTATGCATTTTATCTCATAAAGATTGAGAGAATATTCTATTAATTTCCCTATTCTTTTTAATTAAAAAAAAATGTTGTAGGCCAAGACAAGACTAGATGAAGATCAAGAAGCAAGATGGAATGACTTGGACTTATTTATTTTTTCAATCATTTGAACTAGGCATTGCATTATCTTTAAACTAGACATATTGTGCTTATTATATCTTAGTAATTAAACACAATGTAAATTGAGGGTTAATGCTTAAGTTGTGATTTATCACAAGTGTTTTAGTGCTTTCAATTGAATGCATAACTATAGTAATGTATTTTTTTTACCTGCTTTATCAATTTTCATGAGAAGCTTATTTCTTTTGTTTTTAGATTACAATTATACAACTGTATGCATCTTCTTATATCTCTATACGTGTAGCCCTACATATTTGTTAATGCTATTCATGAAGTTCTTCACATGCTTGCTATGCTGCCATCTTAGAAATGCTTTCTTCTTTGCCTAAGTATCCCTTCGCCAAGTGGCCAACAAAACAAACAAAACACTATTTGGACTTGAAAATGTTGAATCAAACTAGGGAAGAATGATGGAGAATGGAGATATGCTAGTTGAGAGATTAAGATATCAAGGATTTTATTTTATAATTTATGAGTTTGATTGTAACCTCTATGTTTATTTAGGCTATTTTAGATTATTGAGGTTATTTGATATTTATTAGTATTTCACCTTTTTTACATATTAGGGCATTAAGGTTATAATTGGTATTTTGTGTTTTATTAGGGTTTTAGGTTTAGTTATAAGTACCTAAGTTATGTTATTTTGAAGGAGGCTTGGATTTATGAATAATTGATATTTTCTGGATATTTGATATTGATATTTGAAAATTTAGTTGAGAATTGGGATTATTTCTTAAGTGCTTTGAGTATTTGATTACTCATTCTAAGTCATAGCTTACTGATAATTTCTATTCAATCAGCTTGCAATGATGACGTGTGACTAATGTTCAAAGGATTGAACAAGTTTAATGGACAGAATTCTTCCTTCTAAGAGTGTCTGCAGATAGCATAGAAGTTTTCAATGAGCTGACGAGGAACCAAGTTGAATTTCCTAAGCTTTCATACGTAGATGGACCAGCAGATGACATTACTCTTTAACTCCTAAAAAGTGGTAACACTCTATGTCAATTCTTTGTATTGCATTTTTGTAGCTCATAGACATTGGTTGCAAAAATGTATAAAAAATTATTTATTCGAGTCAGCTTTTGTCGATGTTAACTTTGTTTTATTTCTTGAAAAAGTTAATATGATTTAAAAGCACATCCTGTATGTCAAATGGTGCAAAATGCATTGCATATTATTGAATAAAGATGAAAATGATGCTTGATGGATGTCAAATAGTACTGAGAGAAGCTTGTTTAAAAGTTCATTTCTTTTAAAGAGAATGGTGCCTGGAAAGATTCAACTTTTGAATGACTGTTGACTAGGGCAACCACATAATTCCATTCTTGAAGTTTCTTATCTGTTGTTTTCTTCTTTGACTTTAGCTGAAGGAATGTAAAGAAAAATTAGTTACATTCTGGTTATATGTCATATCGCTACCTCAGATATTTTATATAATTATATATCATATCCTTTTCTAGTTTTGAGTTCTTAGAATCTTAATATATCTGGCATTTCCTTGATTAGTATCATCTTAATATGCATATAGATTGAGTGAATTGTAGTTTTACTTGATAATCTTTTGCAGGTTGGAGGGGCAAGACCCCCTGGAGTTGAGGTTTTAACCCCAGCCACAGTGCGGTACTGAGTTGCATCGGGCCTCCAAAGAAAGTAAATAACCTTGTATGCATTAGCATGCCTGCTTATTGCAGGCACTTCAACCCAAAGCTTTGAGGTGTGACTATTGGAGTATTGAAGAACTCTGGAAATCTTTAGCTCCATATTGGTTTAAATCCTAGAATTACTTTTTGTTGCTTGCCATCCTGGATTCATGTTGAGCCACGGACTTCATACCTCGTCAAAGCTGATGCAGTTTACATAATTTTTTCTAGTTTTTCACTTGAGGAAATATAAAAACATTTTTTTACATTCCTAACACGAGATTTTTTTTTTCCGCAGGGCTGTAATCTCCTCTTAATGTTTGCCAGGGTAACCAGACAATTCCACTCTGAAAGTTGTTATAAATTATCATTTTCTTCTTTGGCTTTAGCTGAAGGAATGTAAAAAGACTTTCTGGCTAAAAAAAAAAAGTGTATTTTAACTTTAGGCTTGTCTTTTACTATTTTATATGTCTAATTTTGGGTTCTGGCATTGCCCTGATTGGTATCATCAAGATATATCTGTACATTGCTTCTTCCTGGAGTGAAATGTAGTTATACTTAATAACCCTTGAGGTTCAGTTTGATTTATAGGGGTAAGTAATCTTTAGCACCTAGGCCAATAATGCTTGTCATGCAGTTGTTGCAAATTAACCACGGCGTTTTCACCCTGGACGTAGTGTCGTACTGAATTGTTGGATCAACCCTCCAAAGAAAGTAAATAACGTTGCATGCATTAGCATGCTTGCTCATTGCAGCCTTTTCAACATGCGTAAGCGGTAGCTTTTCATCTTGCATTGATTGAGATGAAGAAAAAGACATTTTCTTTACTCAATCAAAGTTTAAAAATTAGTATTAACACTGTGTAGGCCAAGGAGAGATTCTAGTGATAGCGCACACCATCACCGACGAGAAAGTCAAGTCAACCTTGTTATGTAAGTATAATGCCACACTCTCAATTTCACTGATTAGGGTTCAACCGGCTTACCTCAAGTACTTAAAAAAATAAAAGAAGTCAAGTGAATAATAGTATCGGATTACTATTAACTTTTCCAAATTTAACAGGCTGATTATCACAGCACATAAAAAGACGGAAAGAGAAACACCAAACAAATTTCACAATGAAATGTGTCCCATACTAATAAAAGCTGCATCTCAAATGACTGTTTATGACACAAAAACAAGCATCAAGCCCTTAGGTTACTTTCAAAATATTAACTTCCCAATCACTCAGTCACAGCCCCTAATTCATACCCTGATCAGAAACAGTAACAAGCTCATATTCAACTAAAGAGAGATTGTTATCTTCTTTGACTGCAAATTTAGCAGGTTCAGTGACCTCAATAAGTCCCCATTGATCAACTGCTAGCCTCATTGTTGTTCGCTTGAACATAACAATCTTAGCATTGCGCAAAATCACAGTTGCTCCTTGCTTCATAACGTCAACTGCATTACACAGATTAAACATCATCATTTTATCAAGACCTAACTCATGATATGCAAGAACATCTCTCATTAAAACTAAAGAAGCTAAGCTCGATTCAATTAAACCTTGGCTACCAAATTCGTTCATTGAATACTACCCTGTTTTATACCAACTCCAGAAAATTCAAAGCTGAAAATAATTCTACAAACAAACTCTCAATAAAACGCAAAATTGGTTAACCAAATGTATAATATTAGACTAATAAGCACCATTAAAGGAAAAAAAAAGGCAAATTTCTGTACGAAAAAAAGCTTTATGATGAAATATAGCACTGATTCAATAAAATCCCAAAGCAAATAACATCTATTAAAATATAAAGGCCATAAATTTCTATGGAAAAAATAAGATTGGTAGAGAAAACAGATACCTTGTTCGTTGCGAGCAGTGAAGATGATGGTGCCAGTCTCGTCCCCAACAACGCACTCAGCAATACGGGCAGGAGGGGCGGGCCGTGATAGGATAGCACGGGACCTATTGGGCCTCTGAGAAGTCTTGACTGGGGTCGTCTCCACCACTTTCACGATCAAAGTGTGCCCACTTGTACCGGGATTCAAATCCTCCACTTTCACAAACACCGGCTTTCTCTTCGGCGTCACCTGTCCCTTAGCAGCTTCCGTGGCTGTCGCCATTTCTCAAATTTTTTCAAAGAATAAAAAGAGTTGGTTTCTCTAAAACCCTAGCCCCAACCCCCAAATACGAACCCTCGGATTATGGCAGTATTTGGATTGATTTAAATGGGGAGAGCGTAACGGGTACAAACAATTAGGGAAGCCTTAGGGTTTTTGGGTGATTTGGGGATTTGGTTGGACTGTTGATTTTTTAGCAAGTGCGGGAGTTAATATATAGCGGTTGGAGGGGTTTTGGTTTGTTTTACACGTGATTGAATGGTATTGGATCGGTTTTAGGAGGACCCAGCCTTTCCCCTTCTTAGGGGTTTCACTCACTACTGCCGTACAACAAGCTGCTTCGTTAGTAAGTTTTCCCTTTTTTCTATGACTTTGATAAAGGAAGAAATTATAATTGCTTTTTGATAGTTGTATTTGTACAACTGCTTTTCTTACACGAATTGGATCGAAAGAATTTGTTATAATTGTTGAACATTCGTTTAATTAATAAATTTTAAAATATTATTAATAATCATTTATTAAATTTAATAAATAAAAATTAAATTTATTTATAAATTATTTATCAAAAGTTTTATTTATTTATTCTTTTAAATATAAATAAATTAAATACTAATAAAATTTGCTCTATTTATATTTTATTCATTTACTTAAAAATTTTAAATATTATTTGTTATCATTTATTAAATTTAATAAATGAATATAAATGAATAGAAATCAAATTTATTCGTGAATTATTTGTTGATTATTCTCTTTATTTATGCTTTTAAAAATTTTAGATTATTTAAAATTTTGAAAGATACTAATGTAATTCACTTTATATGTAATTGTGAAAACTTATTAGATTTTTTTATTTGATAAAAGAGATTCGAATTCTATCAATCAAATGTTGGAATGAAATTAAATCTTAACTTTCAAGAATTAAAAAAATATTGATTTTTAGTATATTTAATATTAAAATTTTATTTTTTTTATAAAATTCATGTTTCATAATTTTTAATATTAAAAAATAAAATATCATAACAAATTAAGGTTTTAAATGTTAAAAAATTATAGTTTTGGAAGAATAAAAATACTTCCAAAATTATTGACAAATAAATCTGTACGTATTTAATTGAGGATTCTCTGAACTGGAGTCTCCGCAGAAATTAGGTTTCTATGAAAGGAGTTCTAGTCTTATTGGCTACAAGAGTGCCTCCCCTCAGGATTAGTGATTAGTTGGTCTTTGAGGGTTTTTATTATAATAAGGGCAGTAGTAGAGTATTAATAGTGGAGGATCATGTTGATGGCAAAAAGCACTATGGAGGACGATCTTGATCAACAGTGGAAACAGTTGTCCTTTAGAGAAGAAGAGATGGAAGGTGTGAAAGTATGCGAGAGCCAACCACAAAAGAAATGAGGGATGAACGTAAGTGGAGGGTGGGCAAAATACATACAGTGAGACCTTCAACAAAGATGCGATGATCAGCATGTTCAAAATAGTTTGGAGACTAACGAAGACTGTGGATTTAATGAATCTAGAGGAGAATATATTCTTGATCAAGTTTGGCACAATGAATGACAAAAGAAGAGTCATTGAGGGATTTTCATGGTCATTTGATAAACACCTCTTCTGATGAAAGAATAAGGATGGGGATCTAAATCTAGATGAGTACAGTTTTAACACATTCCTTTTTGGGTTAGGGTTTACGATCTCCCACTCGGGATGAAATCCCAAATATAGCAAAAGTATTGGCAAAATCTAGGTAACTTAATCTCAATAGATGGTTCACTTAATACAGGAGGATGGGCTAGGTTTTTGAGATTAGGGTGGAGATAGACATAACTAAACCTTTGAGAAGGGCTGTTAAAATAAAGGAATGAGGTGTGGGGAAAATTGAAATATGAAATATTGCCATCATTCTGTTGTAAGTGTGAGAGGCTGGGACATGTAGAAGTGGACTGTAAAATGGATGAAAATACCTAAGGAATCAAACACAACAGTATGGTGAGTGGCTGAGGGCTTTCGCCAATTAAGAGGAAGGGAATCGATATTGGTGTCAGTCCTTTTGACGTTAGGAGTACAAAAGTGGGCAGGTAACAAGTCCAATCGTTGAAAAGAAAATGATGCACCCAAGAGAATGCTCATGCTGACGTGGAAGTCATCAAAGAAGAGAAAGGTCAAACTTGCCAAGAGAGAAGAACATAGCAGGATTATGTAGGATCAACAAGAAAAATGGAGTAGTAAAAATCGAGATATAGAGGGGATCATGGAACCAATCCAAAGAGAGTCACGGACTGGTAAAGGCGATATGTTTACCGATAGAGAAATCTCAGGCGGCGAATCCGGAGATAACAAGGTACTGGATGTGGACAAAAGAAACTTGAATTAGGAAACCAAAATTCCATGCATGCTCAAAAAGATAAAACATAAAATGTATGAGCACATGGTGGAAAAAATGGGAATAACTATTAGTGCTGATGTGGAAAGTGGGTCTAGATTGGTAGAGCAAAGATACAAACAATAGGTTTTGCTGACCAGAAAAAAAAAAATGAAAAAAGAGCCAACGGTGGATGCCATGCAGCAGCCAAGCCAAGGTGCAAAAGCTAAGTGAAAAAAAAAATGGCATGGGCTTCTGTTGGATCCTAGGACATAGTAGGGATAGAATTGGGGAAAAAGAAGCAGAATATGATAGACAAAGATGAGACAGAATGGGACTCAAAGGTAGGAAAAACTAGTTACGTAGAAAAAATTATCTTTAATGGAAAGCACTCAGCAGCGGAGACTGGATGCCAGCCCACCAACAACCATGAAGTGCCTAGCTTGGAAGTGTCATGGGCTTGGGAACCCACTCACAGCTCATGCTTTTCAAAAGCTATTGAAGAGAAAAGATCTCTATGGTGCATTTCCAAGTGAAACATTGATACCAATAGAAGCTTTAGAAAGGATAAAGCAAAGTGCAACATGAACTCAGGTTTGGGTGTTAGCGCTATTGGCACAAATGGTGGTTTGGCAATGTTATGAAGGGAAGGAATTTAAACTTGGCTAGTTTCTAAGAAAACCACATAGACATGAATGTGGTGGATCAACAAAACCAACAATGGCGGTTGACAGGCTTTTATAGAGAACCAAACAAAAGTTTAAGATATGAAATGTGTCATTATTAAGACAGTTAGCAAGAAGCTCACATGGACGATGGCTGTGTTTTGGGGATTTTAATAGATCATGTAGGACTTAGAGAAATGGGGTGGAGCTACAAGGGCAGATTAATAGATTGAGGAATTTCAAAATGCTGTAAAAACTGCAAGTTTAAAAGATTTGGGGTTTAAAAGAATATGGTACACAAGGGAAAGGGGAAGAGTTGTTAAGCAAGCAATGGACAAACATGTTTCCACGATTTTTGGTAACAAATATGCCAACCTCAGTTTTAAATCACAATCTAATTATGGTTGACACAAAAAGATGAAAAGAAAAACGCAAAGGGCAAGACGAGGAAAAGGTTTTTCTTTGTTGCAATGTGGACGAAATAGGATACATGTGAGGGGATTATACACAGTGGCTGGAATGGTAGGGGGAGGAACAGTTTGAAAGAAGAGATGGCCGAAGTAAGAAAAGAGCTAGGCATATGGAGCAATGCCATGTTTGGAAAGTTTCATAACGAGATCAAAATGTTGAGCTCAGAGTATAGGAAGCTTAAAATGCAGAACCCGCACGTGGAAAATATAAGGAAAGGAGTTAAGAGCCAAAATAAATTATTTGTTGGAAAATAATGAATTATTCTGGCAACAACGATCGAGAATAAACTGGTTGAGGGGATAAAAATACAGCTTTTTTCCCATGCTCAAGGCAACTAGCTAGAAGAAGGAATAATTTCGTTAAGGGAGGTTAGAAGATGGGTATAGAAATAGAGTGAAGCTAAAGACAAGATGCAAGCATAGTCCTTAGCTATTTACAAGAAACTGGTTTGAATCCTAAAGACTAACTACGTTCCATAAGATCCTTCAAGGGATAAATGCTCGAGTCATAAATAAGATGAACGAGTTCCTTCTTGCAGAGTTCAAATGGAGGAAATTCATAAGGCAATCAAAGAAATGCATTTAACAAAAAGCTCCAAAGACCTAATGGTATGCTTGCTTTGTTCTTTCATATATACTAGCATATTATTGGAAAAATGTGATTGATTTTTATTTATCTTGCCTGAATGGGGAAGGGCAGATCTATGAAGTGAACAATACTAACATAGTCTTAATTCCCAAAATAAAAAACCCCAGAACAATGGCCAGTTTTCGACCTATAAGTTATGCAATGTAATTTATAAAAATCGTTTCGAAAAACTCTAGCTAAAGGCTCAAGCAAATATTATCTAGTTATATAAGTGAATCCCCAACGTGCTTTTGTCCCGGGGCGTTTGATTATTGATAATGATGTTTGGTGGCATATGAAATTACACACACTTTAAAACACAAAAGATTGAGAAAGGATGGGGTATGTTGCCTTTAAAACAAGATATGGCAAAGCCTATGATAGGGTGAAATGGGGTGTTTCTAGAAGTCATTATGCAGAAGATGGGTTTTGCTGATCAATGGATTTCAATGAATCATGAGATTCATAATTCAGTTTCATATTCCATAGTCTTTCATGGCAATGTTAGTGACAGTTTTTGTCCATAAAGGGGCCTTTGCTAAGGAGATCCTCTTTCACACTATTTATTTCTTCTATGTATAAGAGGTTTCTTAACTATGTTGAAGCAATACCAAACAGAAGGATGGATAACTGGTACAAGGGCTAGTTAGAATGGTCCCCGAATTACTCACCTTTTTTTTGTCTTTTTTTGTAGATGATAGCTTGCTATTTATAAAGGCAAATCCAATGGAATGTATGAAGGTGAGGCACGTGTTGCAAAAATATGAGAAAAGTTCGGGACAACAAATCAACTATGACAAGTCATCCTTACTCTTGCAACAAAACATGTTGAAAAAGTGTAGGGAAAGTGTCAAACATTATTTTCAGAATCCAAGTGACAGGCAGATCCAGAAAATAGCGAGAAGTTTCAACTATGGTTGAAAAGAGAAGAAAGCAAGCATTCAGAGAGATAACAATTGGTTAAGGGGAAGAATACAACATTGGAGTGGGAGGATGCTATCTAAAGTGGGAAAGAAGTTTATATAAAAACGGTCCTTCAAGCAGTGCCAATGTATGCCATGAGCTATTTTTCTTTTTTGGCAAGGTTTGTGTAAGGAGATAATAGCATTATGAGCAGGTTTTGATGAA